CCTTCAAACCAGAAGGACCTCCAAAATTGCATGATATGCCTTCGGGGATGCAGCAGTGTGCAAGTGTGTGAGCATCTGAAGTGAAAAGTTCTTATAGTTTTCATCATTGCCTGAACGATCAGTTAATGTAAACAGAAATCTATATCTGATATGCTTATGATGCATTTTCTGTAACATACCCTTACAAACATATTGTTATGTGCTCTGGGCATTATTTGGCTAATTCTGTTTATTCGGAGGATTATCATCTCATGTCCAAAACTTGAGCATGCATTTTTTTTTCAACCTGTCTGATCTTTCATCTCTTCTCATAATTTTTTTATCTGGTTTTATACCTTCATGTGCTACCTCAGATGCAATGGAGCGCCACTCTTACCCCTACTTTACATGGTTACAACATTGCTTTCAACAGATCGAACTCCATCTATTAAAGATATCCTCTGCAGTTATTTCTTCCCTTGCTGTGACTGCATCAGGTTCTCTCTCACTCTATCTCTCTCTTGCGCCCGTATCACACACACACTGTCAAAACACGTGTACGAATGTTTTTACTTTTGCAATTAGGATTATCGTATACAGCCTTTAACTAATGGGTGTCTTTACGTTTTTTGCAGTGCCACTCGCAATTTATATTCTTTCCTTCCATTGCCATATCTCCCTGAAGGAACAAGCTTGAGCCCATTTTTCCTTTTTGGCAGTATGATTTCTCGTGGTGGGTCTCATTTTTTACAACTTACCGCGACCTCTGAAGGACTCTTGAAATGTGTAACATCTCAAATGTATGAGATACAACAACTACTTTGGTCAATTTTCCATATATTTTTTGCTGCCACACTTTTCGATAATCGATGCATTCTTGCAGAGTCTACTCATAACTTTGCTGCAAAATTGGTTGTAGTGTCATGGGGCATAGGGAAGAATTAACATCTTGTACTTATTTATATCTACAAAGTTTGGGAATGGATTTGTCCCTTAAAAAGTCATGGAAGTAAAAATGGACAATTCCATCTTGATTGGGCATCCTCATAGGACTGCAGGATCATTTTATTATGGGCATTGTACAAATATGGAAGCTGAGAGTAGAGCTATGTTAGATGGTTTGATCCTATTGGAAGATTATGGCTTATCGGTTTATTCATTTATCATTGAATCGGATTCTCAAGTGCTCTTGGATATGCTTTCAGGGAAAATAAAAGTTCCATGGAGGCTAAGGGAACTGACTAATCAAATCTCTAGGAGGTTGAGTGCTTTGTCTTGTACACTGGTTCACACTTATAGAGAAGGGAATATGGTAGCTGCTATTTGGCTAGGAAAAGGGTGGTGGATAAAGCAGAGTTTCGAACTGCTTCACCCATTCCATCCCAGCCCAAGCAAGAACTCTGATTTTACAGGATCAGATACAGCTTAGATCATTAAGGCAGAAGAAATGCTGGGTGTATCTAAACCCAGGAGTGCTAAGGCAGTAGGAGAAACCTGAAGCTAGTCAGATGGTTTGGATTGCAAAGATCAAGATATTTCAGTAGGGCTCCCTTATCCATATTCATTGTCAGTTGTCATATATGATAACTCTCAACTCGTCTCCAGGCTCACACCAGCTGCTGCTCGTGGTTAATTATTTAAGCTTCTGCACTCAGCTGGTAGCTCATTCATGACAGTGGCTGCACTCTGAGCTCATTTATTACATCTCAGCTGCTACTCTTAGCTCGTTTAGGTGGCATACATAATATTTTTTGTTATTTCTTCGTCATTTTGTATTATGCATCCATTTTTCGCACTTATTCCTTTTAATGTAATTAGATTGCATCGAGGGGTCTCCTCCTAGCTAGGTGTAATTTAATTTTTAATCAATAAAATTTCTCTCTATGCGTTAAAAAAAATAGGAAACATTATCTCTACAAAAGGTAAAATTCTTAGTATTGAGAAATAATTTTTCGATGTCATACCAAAAAGTTATGATCTAATAAGATCAGGTTACTAAATTTTAAAGAATTACGATTAATTTAAGTTATATCATTACATTCGAGTTATAATCACCTGATTGGATCATGACTTTAGCACACTACCTTTTCAAGTGTTACTAAAAAGATATTTATTTAGGTGAAGGCAATTTTTTATACAGAATACGGTGTGAATATACAATTATATTAAACCAAAATTGCTGAGGGTACCAATCCATCAAAATATCCTATTCATAACTACATGTTGGGAAAGTCAACAGTAACAGAAAAAAAAATTGATATTATAGCGAAAGTAATAATTTTAAAAGTAAAAATTACACTGTCAAAAAAAGTCTATGATTGATCACAGAATTAATCAGTCATAACTTTTCTTTTATGAGTCATAAATTACAATTTAATTTTTAAAAATTATAACTTAACCTTTGAAAATTGTAATTTTTGTGACTAAGCTCTCAAAAGTTGATGCCCTGTAAATATTAGAGTAATGTTACATGAATTTAAAAAATAGATTTAAAATTAGATTTGATAATTTCAACTATTGATTTCACTGTAGGTCCCAGTATTTATTAAGATCCACTACTTATTCAATGGTTAAGATTATCAAGTCTAATTTTTGAGTCTATGTAACATTATTCTAAGTATTATGCGATAAGTTTGGACAATCGTAGGCAGTAAAGTGTAGAAAACGAAAAATATAAAGGAGAGTAAGTAGATAAGCCATAACAAAATGCAAGAATATTCGCGCGCGCGCGCGCACACACACAAAATTGAGGATGAGAAATGCAAGTACAATACGAATATTAGAAGTGCTTTATTTGCACCAAGAATGCTACAATTTTGGAAAATTTTCAACTACACATTTTCTAGTTTATTATATCTTCAAGAACACCCCTCTATTTTTTAAATCTATAGTGACACTCCTGTCAGATTAAAAATATTAACTAGAATGTAATTTTACTAAATTGTTCATATATTTGAGAAAAAACTTCATTCACATCCCCTCTAGGTAAATATATCTTCAATGAGACCCTCTCTAGTTAAGCATATTTTCTATGAGACCCCATCTGTTTTTTAATTTTTTTTAAGTATTAAAATTCAATTCAATCTAATTAAAATTTATTTTTTTACATATTGAAATATTAAAATTTAAGCCAATTAAAAATTACATTTTTTGGGTATTAAAATTTGGGCTAATTGAAATTGTATTTGAGCCGATTAAAAATTATTTTTAATTGACTCAATTCAAATTTTAATCAACTCGTATTGAATTTTAATCAATCCAAATTTTAATACATTAAAAAATATAAATTTTAATAAATCGAATTGTAATTGACATGAATTTTAATAAGCAAAAAAATATAAATTTTAATCGACTCGAAATCGAATTGTAATCGGTGCTAACAACTCGGGTAGAGTTCAAATTGACTCAAATTTTAATACGTAAAAAATAAATTTTAATAGGCTTAAATTTTGATGCGTTAAAAAAAATAAAATTTATTCGGCTTCAATTGAATTTACTTAAATTTTTTTTGTTGTTAGAAATGGTAGTTTAATGGTAGGGGTTTTTAGTGATGTTTAAATATAAACTATAAGGGATGCCAGTAATGTTTTTGATAATAGAGGGGGTATCCTTGAAGATATAGTAAACTAGCAGGGATGTGACTGAAATTTTCCCTACAATTTTTTTTTAAAAGTATTACTACCTATATAACCATATATCCACTATATATCCGGACACTAATTCCTATGGAGAACTGAGCAAAGAAGAAAATACTTTACTGGTGTATTATATAATACAAAGTAGCAACAAGAAAAATGCAAAACCTGCAACACAATTTGTATATGGCTTTAGCACCTTTAGGCCCTAAAGGGTTAAAGTTGTTTTGCAATGTTCTCTTCATCTTTTGAGTTGCATCACCTTCTTTATCACTCAAGCCTCCTTTATCTGCTGCACTTCCTGTAACCCTTGTGAGCTTCTGAATTTGGTATTGTAATTTCTTGTCAATTGGCCGAATCTGCAAAGAATAGAATGATGAGGAATAGAATATATATCATAATCAGGCCCAAGCCCTGATAACAAGTAAGTGAATCACATGCGTACTTTCTCCAAAAACAATCTGATCTCTACAAGGCTCTGAACAACAAGATGTCCCTCAATTGAGAACCCTTTTGTCTTGCGGAGCAAATAATAGACCAGTGACTGGCAATAATTTAGAAGTAGCAAATGCTTGACTTCAAGTTAGCTTATCCCATCTGCTGTCGAAAAATAATCTGCTTTCACCTGATAGACAAAACACACACAGTACTCAAATAAGAAATAAATCCGAAGTAGATTTTTAAACCACTTCTTCTAAAGAAATGGTGGATAAGTTTAGGTACTTCCATTGAACAGGAAAATCCATTACGTGCTTCAACTTCTAACGTTGCAAAACAAAGATGGCAAGGCATTAGTAAACTACTGCACTGCAAGCATATGCTGAGGGTGTTGGCAATGAGAGTCGACATGCAGAAGGTAGTTATGGCATTGACAACAATGTCGGTTGTGGTAGCGTGGTGAAAAGTGACAGTTATGATTATAACGAGTTTCTAGTAATGACAAGCAATGATAGTTCAGTGAAGGGAACTGCAATTGTAGGATTGAACATATCAATACTTAGTAGGTATATTTCGTGTTTCTACAGATTCCTGTAATTAATTCCAATAAAGATGGAAACACGGGAAATTATTACTTTGTATAGGGTACATACATATGCAACCAAAAACAAGGCAATAACTAATGCCTTAAAACTTTTACTTTTTCTGATTTTCTCTTGCTTCCCTGTGGAACATTCCAGAAGCACATCAAAGAAATAATGAACATGCTTTTCTTCCCCTCACTTCTCTCTTTCTTTCCCTTTTTTTTTTTTTTTGTTGAAAAGCTCTTAATTTGCTACTTTAGCAGTAAGAAAACAATTTGCCAATCCACCTCGTTTCTCTCTCTCTCCACACACACACACACACAGTGAGAGAGAGAGAGAGAGAGAGTTGGGAACACAAAAGCCATGAAGAAAACAAAGAGCAAGAGGAAGCGAGAAGAAAGAAAGTGAAGTGAAGCTATAAACGTTTCAGCGCTGAGGTTCTGGTCTCTAAAAATTGGTACATTTTCTCTCTTTTCTTTCTCTCATATCTGGTCTGTCAATTTGTTTATAGATTATACATAAACATAAATGTATGCACAAGTCAGATGCCTCAAATAATCTGCCTTTTTTTTTTTGTTTAGAAATTTCTTGCTTCTGTTAACATAATTACATAAATAACTAGTTTTCCTACTTCTTTTTTAAATGAATAATCAGTTCAAAAGTGTTGTTGTTGGGTAAATATTCCTCTCATCATGAACTACTAATAATAAAACTGAGAAAAAGTAATTAAGAACAATCCAAATTCTCCATATAATATTAGTGTTTTTGGGAGGTTTAATAGTCAAGATATTCAGGTTATAACTAATTCATTTTTTGGTTTGCTTAAAAACATATTATCTATACCAAAATTATGGTATTCATAGAATATTTATTCCTTATGACCTACCTTAATGAGTTTTCAATATTCGAACTCATGACACCTATATTTATAACTCGTACTTATTTTTCTCCTTATCAACTATCTTCGTTAATCTAAACCATTAATTTTGAATTGGATAATGTATATTGAAAAAAAAAAAATATATATAAAATCATGTGGCACGTTCTTATTGGTTGAAAAATAGAACTACAGTATAAAAAAAATATTTTCGATACCCTAATAAAACCCTGTTTAAAAACCCAGTACACGGTGGGATCATTTTAGATGTTTGACCGTGGTCACAGGTCAAAAAGATAAGCGGTCCAGATGAGTAGTGCATGGGATGGATGAGATCATCAAACACCACACAGCAAAGGCTGTGAGCTGCTATGGATCAGACACGTTGACAGTGTCACGTCACTGTTACACTCTTAACTCTTCAGCATGTACGCATACAACGTACGGATTTAGATAATTTATACTCCTTCTCTTCGTAAATATATGTTATTTCATATAATTTTTTTTATTTTATAATATCTGTCGTTTAATAAAATCAAAACATAATTAATATTTTTTCTTTCAAATTTATCCTAAACTTTTCAATACATTAGATTTGGTGGAAGTTAAGTGTCTTTCATATTTCTTTTCTTCCCAATACGTATTGAATAAAAATATTTTAATCATGTACAATTATTTTTTACTCATATTAGAGCTATTTAATAACTTATTTAATTCCTATACAAAAACCTTAAACGACAGATATTTAACAACAGAAAAAGTATTAGATTTTCATGTAATTTTATTTATAATGGTATATCACCTAGGGGTTACGGTGTATAGATAAGGAATCCACACATAAACAAGGAATCTACATATAAATAATAAATTTCTCCATATACGGGGAGATCCCTCGACCTATCCTCATCAAGTAGAAATGCTCTTATGTTGTTCAGGCTCGTGACTCTGAGTAGAACCAAAAATAGAGCCCATGTGTATGAACTGGTCCCTCAACTCATACACTATTTCAATCAAGACTTATACGTCGTTGGGAATTCAAGACTAATACCAGAGACTTAAATACGATTCATTTAAGTAACTGAGGTCTTGCCCTACCAAACAAACACATTTTGAGTCTAGGAGACTTTGAACCCCTGACCTCCCACTACGAAGCCAGAGGATTTAACCAATTGAGCTACCCCAGTTAGTTTAAATAATGAATGTCACATAAATATATAGGGAGTAATTTATGATTGAATAAAATTATGTGAAAAATTAATAAAAAAATTTTAATCTCAAATGGACTACGTAGTTGACAACGACATACTCTCAATAAGAGCGCAATGATAGATGTTGCTAAAAGGCAACAAATCATCAATGTTTTTCGAGTCACGAATTTTATACAATATTAAAATTTAGTGTTAATCTAACGTTAATAATGAATTTAGTCAAGAAATTGTAAATAATTTTATTCTAAAAAGCACAAAAACATTGCAGGTGTTCTTTTGGCAATCCAACTATCTAAATTGATTTGCGATATGGAATATCGAATATATTTTCAAATATTTTTTTTTCCTTCATTTCATTTCTCAAAAAGATTTTTTTATCATTAATGAGTGTTGAACTTATTTATATATAGTAGATTCACATGAATTTATGATAGATGATTCAATAAAAGAAATTAGAGAGAAAATATATGGGAGAAAATGTTATCTTTCTTGTCAGATTAGTTTCATGTTATTGTGCAAAATTGCAAATTCAGCATTTTTTTTCAGGGAAGCCCAAACATTCTACTAAAACTATGTGCAGCAACAAGTATCTCTACTTATTAGTTAACTATGATTTACCCAATATATTCTTATGTTTTGTTTATTTCTAAATCCTTCCCTTAGAAATTTTTTTGTTTCTCTGAAGGCCCAGAAGATAGAATGCAGCTGTGTAATGTTTGGTTACTGAGAAAAATTAGAGTTCAAGAAATAAAGGGTTCCATGGATGATTCACACTATTGAACAACACTGAGAGAATATCAGGGCCGATAATCAAGCTAAATTTTGTGAGTTCAAGTCGAGTCTATCGAGCTTATTTTTTAAAACAATTTAAAAAAATTATTCAAATTCGGTTCTTTTAAAAAAGAGTAATTCTATTTAGACTTAAAAATTTGATCTTATTTGCTAACCTGATGATGTAATTTTATTATAATCATTGGATGAAGAGCAAGTTTTAATGTTTCATAGGAATTATAGTCAATTTAAAGGTTATAATGAATTATATCAATAAATAAGGTCATATTTTTAGGTCCAAATAACATTACTCGGAAAAAAAAATGAGCCAAGCTCAAAATGAGAAGACCTCAAGGTGAGGCGAGTAGATTGACTATTTTAAATATAAACAAGTCAAATTTTGCAAGTTCAAGTCAAGTCTGTAAAATTGTTTAAGCTCAAAGTCTAACTCGAATTGAGTCTTATCTAGATCGAGGCAGAATAGATTGGCTCAATTATTAGTCCAAACTACAAAAGGAATCAAATCATTTATATTCCTCCCACAAAGACTATTGACAGTAATTCTTGTTGCAGGCCTGATGGTGTTCTGGATTAATGGCAGTTTCATGCAGCAAATTTAACGGGAAAAGTCGGGTATATCAATCGAATATGTCCCATGGAATGTATTGGAACCCCCCCCCCCCCCCCCCTTTCTCTCCTCTTTGTCTGTCTTATTTTGTAGGATGATATTGGCATGAAGAGGCTCAATCTGTCAACAATGTGATGGTATTTTGTTAGATTACTACTAAAAAAGGAGCATGATAATTTTTATTTTTTTTTTGCCCTATCTCAAGCGATTTTAATATGGGTCGGTTCAAATTTCAAACCTAACGACCGTATCCAATTTATAATTGACAATTTTAATAACATCCATCAATGCTATATGGAATTGATGGAATCACACAATATTCATCAATATTATACAGAATTAACAGACATACTTCAGATGCTAAATAAACAGCTATAAATTGACTATATCAAATTCTTGTAACCCGATGGGCCACTTACCTAACCTTCCCGGCATCTCGAACCTCTCACGAATAATGCATGAAATGGAGATAGCTGAAAATAGGAGCACAAACCCTAAAGATTAAGGTGAAACCATACGTGTTAATAAGTTCCAAAAGCATGTTATCCTGCAACGTTATCAGTGCCGTCCAATCCTAAATTCTACTAAAAGTCTTTCACAGCTCAAGTAATGAGCATCAAGAAACATATACGTAGCTACTAAATTAGTTTCATTTTCATGACCAGAATCAAGCACTCAGGCCACTGCCAGTATTTTTGCGGCATTCACTCAGCATATCCATGTAGGTCTGGCATTTGCTGATATCACTTCCACAGTAATTCAGGCACTACAAGATAAAGAGCAACATGATCATTAAGTTTAGTGGCGAAGGACCCACAGTAACAGTAAATTAAAATGTTGGTTTAGTGTTGATTATTTCTTAAAGACTTAATAAAACAGAAAGTGTTTATAACAACAATAATAACTACAAAATAGATTAAATTACCAAAACAAGAGGGCATATTTAAGAGCGACACAATAATAGACTGTGTGACTTAATGTTTTTGGGTTATCGATATGAGCTTTAATTAATCTGGTTTGTGTTAGTTAAAGCTCATATCGACAACCCTTAATTCGTCTTTTCTACGTTTATGACATTCATCCGATTTGTTGCCAACACGATGCGCAGTTATGCAGTATTTCTTCATGATAGTGTTTTAAAAACTACACTATTTCCGAACCAACCCAAGAACAGACCTAGGTAATAAGAAACAACCACTAGGACTCACTAAAAATGAATTTAATTGTGATAGAATGGAACATACATCTTGGAAGGCTTTGAATTGGCCACCACATGCATCAGAACCTTCAAGACTGTTCATGGTTGCTGCCTCAGCAGTAGGGGCAGGGGAGGCCACTGTCTCATGTTTTATGGCCGTGGGACCCAACACGAAATCCATAGCCCTGTGGGCAATACCATTCCCACCACCAATGGCAATGCCTGCACATTAACAACTAATAAGCAACACAAACTGTTTCGTTTATAGGCGTCAAGCCAGGGGCTGCATTGCATGCACATCATGTGCTTCGCAAAATGGGCAAACCATACAATAACTTACCTTCAGCAACTACAGAACCAAGCCCTCCACTTGCAGATCCCCTTTGTACAGGCGCTGGTGGAGGAGCAGGCGCAGCTGCAACCACCAATTATTTAACACAAAATCTTCAACAAAACAACCCCCCACCAAACATAAAAAAAATTGAAGAACAACCAAATGAGGGATTCTATACTCAATCCTTCAATCATTCTAATTATAGTACATATGAAGTGAATCAGAGGACAAATTTAGCCAAAATATACTCGCCACCATTAGCCAATTGAAGAAAATTGTTCGATAACACTTCTTCCTATTTCTTTTTCAATGATATCCGACGATTAAGACAATTTCCGTAAAACTCTTTCATTTCATAGAAGGTCATTTTATTCTTATGAAGCAAATAGCATTTCCAATCTATCTAGCATTCTCTTGCATAAAGGGCTACTTTTGCATCGACTCTCTCTCTCTTTAGGTAATTACCGAGGCAAAAGCAGCTCTTTCGATAGTCAAATTTTCCGCCATCTTAGTGGGACTAGTCTAATAAACTTTCCCTTAAACTGACAAGATTCAGATTTTTTGTTAAAAGGAACAACTAAACGAGGTCATTATATAACAGTTAGAACCCACTGTTCAACTTTCAAGCCAAATTCCAGAACATGACCCCATCAAAGCAAAAATGACTAGTAGTAACCCAAACCTTATGCATTGTTTCTCATAAAAATTTGTAGACAAAAGAAGAACATCACCTGGCTGTGGAGGCTGACGTGGTGGAGAACGGGCAGCAGGACGAGAAGCTGACCTCATTGATCTTCCTGCAAAATAACACTCTTTCAGTTTTTAATTAAGCTCTGCATCTTGACACCGTGTGTCCAAAGAATGATATGAAGAGATGAAAACAAAATGATTCCCGTCTTAGAAACAAACACATCTATTTGGAGTTCCATTAAACTCAAGGAAGAAAGAAGTAACGTAATGGAGTTTACAAGTTTCACTAGATGTCTTCAATATCACAATTCAAGATATCACTAGATATCTTCACTTTCATAGCTCAAAATATCATCCCTCACGTCTTTCTTGTCTGCAATTCTTTCCTCATAAACCGTTTGCCCATATATAGCAACCCCATGCGCATTGATTACTCCTATTCAGTTCAAGGTATATCAAGAAGATTCCGTCCAATTTCAACAACTATCATTCAAGCTAAAATAAGACTAACATGATCTATCCTATTAACAAAGAGAGAGGGTGAGAGTATTGGTGTTTGTTGAAGTATAAATATATAAGTTTTTTAAATAGATAATTGTTTAACTTAATATTCTCAAATCTCACCGCCACATTAATTATTAAAAAAAAGTTCACATAATAGGTCTGAGAAGAGTTGAAGTATAAATAATTAAATATTTAATTTACACCCTCTCCAACAATTTAAACTTCTCTCTAAGAGTTTAAACTTAAATTTTTGAAGTAGATGATTGTTTAATAATATATATATATATAGATGGTTGTTTAATAATATTAACCTCTACGATTATCTACGATATATTTTATTTTTATAATTGTACTTAACTATCCTATCAACTGCACTTAACCACCCATAGCTTCTATAACCAGCTATATTTATTTTATTCTAATATCTTCATTTTTTTTCTTTTCTTCTACGAATGCTGTCTGTGCACGACCCTAGTACGAATAAAGCCCATGGGATCTAGTTTATGGCTGGTCCCTACTTTCAGGGAGAGAAAATTGATCCAAACATATATCACATTTCAAACCTTAGCCAATAGCCCATAATCTAGCATGGACACACATTCAACAAACCAAACCAAGCCAAGCCAAGCCAAAAGGCCATAATTTAAACTGGTATATTTTAATTTCTGGCCAAAATTGTTGAGAGCTAGGGTCCAAATTTTTTTTCTTTTTTTTTATTCCTAACAGAAACCAAATACCCCCTGTGAATACATTCGGTGCAAACTCGTTAAAAAAACTGACAAATTTGAACAAAAATCCAATTCACGCTTGACATTCACATAAATATCAAATCTAATGTACCAAAAGAACACAGAACCACGTGATTGAATAATTGCACAAATTTATAATATTTCAAGTGATAATGCCACCGTAGTAGGAGCAAGCTTAGAACAATAACACCTTAAAAAAAATTGAACTAGCAATAACTACAAAATCTTAAATATTTATTAGTAACAATTCTAATCGGTAAAAGTTTCATAAATGATTTTTTGATAACAAGTCTCATTCAACAAACGCATTATAAAAGTTGGTTTGCGAAGTTAGAGTAGAAATTTAATCTAAATATAAGAAATGATTATATGAATTAAGATCCATGAGAATTTTTTTTTTGAGGCGGCAAATTTGAAAGTACATCAAAACATGTATAAAAATTTATTTGCAAAAAATTGAATGCACTGACTGGCTCCGCCCCTGAAACCGGCACTGAATGAGCATATGAGAAATATATAATTCAATGTGGAGAGAGAGAAGAGAGAGAGAGAACGGACCTCCGGAACTTCGGCGGCGACCCATGGTTGCTATGAGTAGCTCGAAAGGAGAGAAAACAGATAACGCGTGAAGGAAAAGAAATTGCAGAGCGTACGACTGTTGGAGAGCAGCTCTATTTATAGGGGGTGTAGTGGCTTGGGCGTTACGAAACACTAGATATATTTTGCCCCTCAAACTTTTCCCTCAATTTCAATTTAAGCCCTCTAACTTCATTGTATTTCGATTTGATCCTCTAACTTTTTAAATTGTTCCAATGTAGATCTTCGTCTCTTTCTCTCCCGCGGAAGGCTCAAAAACTGTAGAGATATCTTGCATTAGGTTGAAAATCTAACAAATTAAGAAGCAATTTTGAGTTCTGCCTATCTTCTTCTTTTTCTCTCTCCTTCCTCTTCTGAATCAGAGTTTTTTCATGGAATTTTGGTGTTCATCTTCCACCCACTTCAAATTCACAACCCTCCACACCTATCATACCATCAATGCACCGAACTTTTACTCTCCTATATCAATGTCTTTGCTCCAAAACCCTAACAGACCCTCTATACATTTCCCTCCAAAACATTCGTTCAATAGTAAATCATACTTCAAACTTTTTCAGAGAAAGACTCACTATCACCACTACTCATCAAAAAACCCTAAATTCATAGTCCGTTCTTCCACCGATAAGTCGCATGTTTCATCGAATACCAAGGTTATCATCGCCAGCTCTGCAATTACTTTACTACTTGCCATTGCGAATCGCGTACTTTACAAACTCGCCCTTGTTCCCCTGAAGCAGTACCCGTTCTTTTTAGCTCAGTTCACCACTTTTGGGTAAACTTTCCCTCCAATTGATATAAAATTTCCCTCCAATTGTTAACTTCTGCATAAATAGAACTGTATCTGGAACGATGTAATGTTGTGATTTTTGCTAATGTTGGTACTAACCATCAACTGTGTAGTCTTTTAGTATTGGACTGTGGTAAATGTAGAGAAAAGGTATTGAAGTGATAGTTCTTGATTTGTTGATCTCGTTATTTCTTAGGATAGAATTTGGCCTCCTGGTGACTATAGTTCTGTTATACCCATGTCGAAGGTATTTCAATTATGTGTGTTTAATGTAATGGCCTCAAATTGGTTTCTAGTTGTGAAATGTCTCGATTAGTCCATCATATTGAACACTTGTTTATTTAATAATTCCAATCAATTTAGACTTTGATAGGTGATTTCCATTCATGGACCGTGGTTACTGTCAACCTGATTTGCCACTGATATGATTATTTTAAGAGGAAAGTAAGAACTTGATAACTTTCAGTTTGTGCAACCCCTCTTGTTACAGAGAATGGAAACAAAATTTTTTGATCCGTCAAGACAGCTACACTGTCATGCATAGGTTCACAACACAAATGGCAGCGTTTAATCACGTCCTAAATCTAAACTAGGCCGCCATGCTAATAGGCCACTTTGTTAGTTCACTTTACAAAAGATACTTCGCTACTACCAATTTTTTGATGATAATGGAATTAATGAAGAATTTGTAGTTAAATTCCTAGGTAACTCATCTGGCAAATTGATGGTCAGGGTTTGCTTTTTTGCTTCATGATTGATATATAATTGTTTTCGCTTTCACTTATTTGAGTACTACAAGTAATTGTTCCTCACTATTTTTTTTGAACCAATATGGTTCTATGAAGCACAGGTATGTGGTTATCTATTTTTTCACCCTATACATAAGATATCGTGCTGGGATTGTAACTAATGAGATGATGGCCCTTCCCAAATCACGCTTTGTGCTTATTGGTATTCTAGAAGCCCTTGGAGTTGTTGCTGGGATGTCATCTGGAGGTATTTTATGCTTTGATTTTGGCAATTCAGAACCAATTGTTGGACTTTGAGTTTTCATAGTGGTGCTGAGCAGAGTTTGTATGTGACTGCTATAGGATATAAACCATTTTGGATTCTGCAGTAAATTTCATACTTTTTCGGTTAATCATATCCAGTGATGATGGGTGTTTTCTAGAGCATCTTGTCACTCAACTGGTTTTCTGTTGGCTACAAAAGCAGAGAATGCAAAAGCAGGTCCAAAATATTGAGAAGAGGGAAAGTGAATAATAAAGAGAGAGAGAGAGGGGGGGGGGACTAGATTAATTTGGGATTTGGGTATCCAGCAATAACCTTTGTACTGAATCTTATGTATATTTTACAGCTATGCTTCCTGGACCAGCTATACCCATATTGAATCAGGTAATATGAATAAGTTTGCTATCTAATATTTACCAAAAAAAAAAAAAGTTCACTGACTAAAAGAATTGTTGCTAGAATGGCCCATAAAAAAGGAAAAAAAAAAAGACTTATTTCCTACAACTGCCTGTTCAGATATTTAACGCTTTAATCCTTGTTTGTTCTTGAATGTCTATTTTGTTTGCTTATGATAGTGCGTCCATTTTTGTTCTTCAGTTGGACATGTATCATGGGTGTAGTGTTTATAAATGCAGCTTTCAAGCACCAGATATGCAAATTATGTTGACTTGATGACCTTCTTGAGTTGTCTTTCAATAAATGTCTGAGAGTGTTTTCACGGTATTCTTCTTTCCAGAAAAATAAAACAAAATAAATAATCAATAACTCCTGCAACTATAGGTTATATTTGAGTAAACATGTGCCCGCAGTTTGGTTGAGGCCTAGAGTTGGATTTCTGGATTAAACAAGGGATTCAGGGACCTGAATGATTGATTGTCATAAAGTACAGCATTTGGGATTTGCTATTCGTCAAACACTGAATGTATGATTCTGACAATTATATGAAGCTGACACTGATCTCAAAGGTAGATAGCTGTCAGTTCCAAAACGATAATTAAGAACTGCAATTATGCCAATGTTTTCAATGGAGGGGGATCTGAGTGGTAGAGGGAGGCCACCAAGAACATGGATGGAAGTTGTGATAAAAGATTTGCCTATGTTTGGACCAATACATTAGCACATATACTAGAAAGAGTATGTTGGTTGGTTTCATGTAACCGGTTACAATTGAGTTAGAATTTTGTACCATGGAAAGTTGATGGTCTAGTTTGACATCAAGAAGGTACATGAGTTACTCATCTGGTAGGGAACCAGTATTCACAACAAATTGTGATGCATTTACATGCTTGTGTATTTCTGGAACTCTATCCAGACCAGGTCACAGCAACATTTATTGGGTTGGTGTTGGGACTTCACAGCCATCCCAAACCGAGGTTAAGAGATATTTTATCAGTTTTTTTCCATTTAACGAGATGTAAACTTTTTTCTAACAAAAAGGGAAAAAATAGTAC